ACGTCAGAGTCTCCAAACACCACAAAAGTCTCCAATAACACCAGAAAAAGTCGCTAGATTTGTCGCTGGTCGTTTTTGACAAAAAAAGTCGCCAGGATTTAGCGAGAAAGTCGCCAACAAGACGCTGTGTTGCGCTTTCAAAATAAAAGCAAGTGAGTTAAAGATTTTCAATTTTATTTTATTGTAGGGGACACGTCCCCCCCGCCCGCTTTTGTGTTTGAACTGTTTGCTGTTTGAATCACCTAAACAGTGTAAAGAGGCTGATGAAGATACTGCAGAGCATCCTAAATGGAAGGCTTGATTACTGAAGTGGAGCATGAAAGAAATTACGTGAGAATTGCCACTAGGAAAAAGCCGCTCACACTTTTTCTGGTGAAAACTCTCAGCCAAGCGGACAGGTGTCTCTTGTAATATTCCATGCACTGCTTAACACTAACTAGCTAATTAATGACCCTGTCAATCACACATCAAAGGCGACACTCAGGGAGAAGCAGAGTGCTATTCCATATTTGGAAACTTTCCCTTCGACTGAGTGTTTGAAGCAGGAAATAATGATGAAAATGTTACAGGAACAGCAAGGATGACATTTCACAGCGCTGGTAGCATTTCCACCAACACCATTCACACCTATTTACATTCAAATTAAGTGAATAATATAATTTAGTTGAACATAAAATTATCTGATGAGGAAATATCAATACATAATCTAAAGTAATTGATCACAATGGAAACACTTCCTTTTTTGATTTCACTTACATGTATTATTGATTTATGTATGTTACCACACCATACATAGCACCTAGAGGCTATGTATATACTTTTTTTCACAAGACCTTCATTATACGGTACATATTGTACATTTCAGTGTATGTTGCATGTGTCAGTAAGTGATGAATGACTATGAGCTGATCCACATCTATCCCATCACTCATTCTTTCTCAATCCTGAACACTCCCATTACACACCCCTACTAATGTACACATATTATCACATCTCATACGGTTTACACCGCAGAATCATCTCAGTAGAGACTGTTGCTGCTGGCTCATTGAGTATTGTGTATCTCAGTGGCAAGATACAAAGGAAGTCCAACACAACCCTTCAATATACTAGATGTGGACTGCTGTGATAAGCCGCCCACTGTCAAACTGCTGCATTTCTTCTCAATGCACTCTAATCTCTGCTTTCCCTGTTTTGCCATTTTCTTGCACACTGAACAATACCTCCGAGTGCTCAAACTAATGATGGAAAACTTGTTCTAAAGCTATATTATCAACTAATCTAATCAACTAAAGTTATATTTCTAATTCTTCTTATGGATTCTTTGAAAAGATATTCAAGCAATTTGTGCAGAACATTTGCTCTTTTAAAGTGACAGTCTTCCAGGTTTTATTAAGTGGCGAGAGTCTAATTAGCCATGCAAGTGGTCCATTATGAAATATCCGCCCACACACACACATTCATTACGCACATCCACAAACTGCACATTTAAATGCAATATTTAAAATTGTAATAGCACGAGACTTTGAATATAAGTGTGAGGATTAATTGAATGTATGAAAGTGATCTCATACAAGATGCCGCAGTATAAAGAGTGAAAAAGTCTGCATTTGGAGGATGTTAGGAGGGATGGATAGGTCAAACAAATACAGGACTTTCACCCAGGAGGCTGCTGTTGGTGTCCCGTGAGACCAAATGCCTTTTAACTTACGTTACATACTCATTTTAACACCAACCACAATATTTTCATAAACTTAACCAAGTTTTTTGTGCCTAAACCTTCCCAAATTGCAACTGTTCAAACTCAAAATGTGTAAATGTGAAAAGTTTCTCAGCAAGCTTTATTTGGAAAGTTTGACCAAACGTTGCATTATTGTTGCAACTTGACTGTGAAGCCCTGAGTGTGCAAAAATTATGCTACAATGCTACCAAGAGATTGTAACACATTATTTAAGGCAAATACCTGTGTGTGTATTGGTGTGTCTGTGTGTCTCTGTGTGT